CCCTTTCCCAGACAACTCTGTTGTCTGTCCTGGGAGCTCCCAGGAAAGGGGAATGGGATGAAAGGAGTAAAATAATCCAGGAAATGGGTGGGGAACGTAGCTGGGACACATTTGGGATGGGATGGGGGTGGGCTGAGGTCTCCAGCCAAGGGGAGGCAGCAGGACTGCGAGAGCCCCTCTACTGTCCCTTGGCCAGAGTTCAGCTCTGCCTTTGTCTCCCCCACCTCGATAACTCCCCCATTAGCAGCACTGCAGCACACAGGGATGTACAAAACAGTGAACGCTTTTTATTTCGCTGCTGGAGTGAAACCACCGTAATTTCATAAAACTCAAAAAAAAAAAAAGTGATTACTGAAAGGCATACATTTTTTTTCCTTTTTACACAAAATGTAAGTAAACAGACAAGTTTCTTTTTAAAAAGGTTATAAAGTGTCAAGATCCTATACCTCATCTGCATATTCAAAGTGATGCCGTCTGATACAAAAAGCATTGGGTATAATAATTTAGCTATGGCTCAGACCAAAAAAAAAAAAAAAAAAAAAGTCATCTGGGCTTAATCTACATACTACTACGATTGCCCACGGAGTTAAAAAGGAAAATATGCAGTTCTTTGTTGCACAGAAAGAAACAGCAGGGAAGTCGAGAGTTCACTGGGAGATCGTCATCTAAAGGGAAGCTGGGCGCAGCGAAACACCCCCCTCCCCGGGAATGTCTGCCAGAGCCTGTGAGCAGGACCACAGCCGGCCTGTGACCCCCCGCTGTGCGAAGAAACCAGCCACATTTTTCTCCCACCAGACAGTATCCCATCCAAATCCACCCACTAAACTGCACCTACCCAGCCTGCTGGAAGCAAGTAAGATATAAGACCCTGGAAACTGCATGGAAGTCACGAATCTCCCTGTGCGCTTTCCCACTGGGACTAATAAAACCCAAACAAACCCAATGAAAAAACAAAAAAAAAAGAAAATTACTTGTTCTATTGTAGATAGAGTGAGACTCTTTGCTTCTTCGGGAAATCTGTTATTCATAAACCTCCTCATCTGCAGCTCTCAGCCCAAGCACCACAGTGTCAGCCTTATTGCAAGACTCAAAATAGGAATTTACAAATGCAAAGTCTTTAAATAAGCATCACCAGACCTTTCTTAAATAAAGAGCTGGCCATTTGCAATGGCCATGTTGCCTTCCTTCCCACCACTGCTCCCACCAGGCACTCCATCTGACTGGCAAATGTGGAGAACAGAAGGGACACAAGAGCCTCTTGACTGAAACGCAGATAAGGGCACACGTGTGCCACTGGTGACAGGACACAACTATGAATTCCTGCTCAGATTTATTCCCTGACGTGAGGTTCAGCCATGATTGATTCCTGGGCAAAGCCTACATGCTCCTGGTTTGATGGTTAGGTCATCTCTGCTTTGCCATCCCTTGGGTCTCCAAAGCTCTTGCTACCAGTTTGGAGCCCTGTCCCTGCAAAACTGTGGAAAGATGGCGGGTTTCCATGGAGGGCGTGAGGAAGGTGGATAGGGGTGAGCAGGTATAAAACCCAGTTTGTGCCTTTGCTTCTGCAGAAAAGAGCAGGCTAAGGTGGCTGGTTTATAGCCAAAGCCATGGGGGCATCTGTTCCCTATGACATCTGCCAAGACCTAATAGAGACGACTGGAGCAATAACAGAATCGCCAAATAAGTCAGATTTTTAGAGGCTCTCCTTTCAATATCTTGGCATCTGAGGTGAAATGAGGATTAGCACACAAGGAGACACCCAAACCAGCCCAAACCATGAGCCCGCTATGTGTCTACTGAGCTCCAACTTTTCTTTTTCCCCAACTGTCTCAAAACTTTTGTGAGGGAACTGGGCTCTTCTTTGAGATTTCTAACTCAAAACCTGGTTGGAAGACCCCTCAATTTCACCAGCCTGTTATGTTTCCATAACTGCCTCTAGGCTGAAACATCGAGGAGCTGGTACCTCAGAGGCAGGAGCCCAAGTCCACATCAAAAACATTCTAAATATTTGGCAGTCCAACCCAGAGAAACCCTGGAGTGGGTTCAAGCCCTCCATGCAAGGATGGCAGCTCCTGGGCTGCCAAGCTGTCTGTCTGTGGAGCAGCACATGGGAGGTGACAGCAAGTTCTAGGACAGGGGGGAGACATCCATTTAAAAAAGAAAAAATAAAAAATATTAGGACAATTAAAGCAGCATGGTTTTGGGTTTCTTTTTGCAGTGACTCACAAAACTGAGGAGCATCAAGATGCCGCTCTGCCAGCCAGAGGCGCTCAAGATTTGGCCACATAGATTGTACCAGGTCAAGGACTGCTCTTACACTAGAAGCGGTCTATTTTTAAGGTGGTTGGGTTGATGCTACATAAAGCGAAGCAGCACTGCAAAGCCTGTCCCCTGCCCCATGTTCCCCCCAAGCAAGCCCACCAAGCTCAGATTTGAGTGGACTCTCATCAGAGCTCAGCACCGAGCACTTCCACCACCAAACCCTGCATGGAGGAGGTGAAGAGTTCCTGTGGCCAAAGGAGGCCGAATTCAAGCCCCTCTGTCTCCATCCTGACAGACGGGGACATCCTCTGACCCCAACTCAAAAGCATCATGGCTGAAGCCCCTGAACTGCTTGCCCTGGGCAATCTGCCACGCAATGCTCCCATGAGTGTGGGCAAGGAAAACATTTCTCCTCCTCTTGCCAGGGCAGAAAAATCTCCAAACCTGCAAAGCAACAGTTCCCACTGCTTTATCCTGAACTCATCACAAGTCATGGCAACAGCCTGTTGTGACCAGGGGGCACATGAGACCATGAGGTCTCCTGGCTAAGAGGGATTCCGGCTGTCCCCATCGCAATGCTGAGCCACCTCCCACTGCCCCTGGGGACGAAGCAGCACCTGTTTTAGTAGCAGGAGGACACAACGGGGCAGGAAGAGGATGGTGACCCACCCAGTGGGACTGCTGCAATACACAATTCAAGCCTTTTTATCAGCCCAATTTCTCACCCTTCCCAACAAATGCAGACCCTTCAACCACCGCCACCTTCCCCACGAGACATAGGAACCAACAGCCTGGAATGGCGCAGGAGAAACTCAAGGGACCAAGGGCTGTCCCACAATGTGGGGGCTTGGACAGGCCCGAGGTGTCCAGTATGACAGCTCCAGGGCCATGCGTGGAGGGCCTCCACCTCGCTCGGCACCACAGCCCATCCCACGGGATGGCCATCCTTGCCATGCAGCGGGGCTGGCTCCCATCAGGAGAGGAGGAGTGGCACTGGAAACAGCTCTAAGCTCCTCCTCTGTCCACGTGTGGTGGCATGAAGCCGTCCCCTACCCTTCTGCAGGTACTGAAGGTGTCTAACCAGCCTTCCTCACCACTTATCCCAAGCAATAAACCCTCTGAAGCAAATGTCTCTGGATACTGTGTTTCGGAAGGCACACAAACCTTTGGAGATACCCAACACAGGGCACTGAAGGCATCTCAAGTTGGGCAGCCTAAAATCACAAGGTGCTGGATGACAAGCCCTCCTTGCCCCAACATCTGCAGTACTCTGCAGCTGAGGGGGTGAGTAGCAGTGAGCCCAAAGGATACTCGGAGCATCCCTTGGGCCACATGTATGCCCTGGTGATAGCAGATGGCAGCTGGCTGTGACCTGGTGCCAGGGATCGGGCTGGGGGGCCATGGGTCACCTCCCGGGCTCCACCAGGCAGCGATGGGAGAAACAAAGGCCAGAGGACGTGCGGAAGACAAACAGGGTTTGTTTTTTTTTAAGATTTTTTTTTTCCTTTAATTAGCAAATTTCTTCTTACCCTTGTCAAAAGAAAAAACACCCCCACGATACC